CCACTTCTCGGTTGCGTTAACATGTATGGTAACAGTTCTACTTCGTGCCACCATAAATTATTTTATATTGTTGTGTTTTTTTTTAACATGCTGTATTGTCTATTGTTTGTCTTCTCCCTCTCCCTCTTGAATTGTGAGCCGCCCTGAGTCCCCCCAGGGAAAAGGGCGGCATACAAATAAAGGCAAAACAAACAAAACAAACAAATTAAAAACAATTTAAACAATATAAAATAATTTATGGTGGCACGAAGTAGAACTGTTACCATACATGTTAACGCAACCGAGAAGTGGGCTCTTTAACACTGGGCCTTTAACACACTGGGCTGTAGGCCCAGCATACACTCTTATGAAAGGGCAGCAGGATTGGGTTCAATCAATATGTGAAAGGGAGAATGTTCCACTGCCATAGCCCGGCAGAGAAGGCAGATCTTGTCCCTACCAATCCAGTAATACTCCTTAGTTAACCTGTGTCTTAAGGCTATTGGCTATTCAATTAGTAATATTGAGAAATAGTTTGAAGATCATACAAGGACTTCTAAATATTTAAAATAAATTATCCTTGACTATCTGTAAATATTGCAAGATAACTTATAACATAAAAATAGAGCAATTTTTATCAAGTAATGTTTTTATCGAGTAATGCTGCTGCAGCACAACAACAAAATACAATTATAGCACTACTCGATTTCCAAACTTTTTATGGTTAATTTATTGCATTATATAAATGTTTTTAAAAAGTATAATAACAAGAAGGTTGCTATAATAATTGATTTGTGCATTTCAGTCGATATGTGAAAACCTCTGTTGAAACAGAAGACACTGAAGCATCTCTCCAGTGCTGCAAGAACAATAGCATCAATGGTAATGGTCCAAATGGAATTCATGAAGAAGGATCTCCAAGTAAGGCTTGAATTTAAAAAGCTGCTCTAATATACACTCTAATATAGTGTTGTCTTCCTTTAAAGCTTATTTTGCCTTGTCAACTGCCTTTCTTGGTTATCCTTAATCCATAATCCTTATTAACATTCTCATAAATGTAGAAAAAGGACGCTCCCTAATATTTATAAAGCTAAAAAGTACAGACATTAAGTGAGTTTTTTTGTTGTTATACCCTCAAATCTTATTTCATATACTGTTTATTATAATTCACAGTTCGTGTGTTCTGTGTCAAAAGTATGTTATTAAAAGAGGTTAATACTTACATGTCTCATGAGATTACTCTGTTCTCTTTTAAAATAAATGTATTTTATATGGAGAAATTATGAAAGAAAGTGGCTTTGTAATAACAGTGCTCTTCCATCTAATAGAATGGTGCCATTTATATTTATTTTTGTTTCATTAACATGCTATACAATTATAATTATTGGGCTTAAAATAATATGGGCAACACTTAATAAAATTTATGTAAAGTCCTAGCAGAAAGATTGAATAAAATTTTAAAGAATCAGAGTTACTTTTTTTAATAGTCCTTTGTAATAGCCTATATAGTCAAATAAGTTGGAAATTGCTTAAAATAGTTTAATATAGAGTATACGTAGATTCTTAAATTTTCTCTTATTATTCTGAAATATTTGAGTTTTTAGACTATTTATCTCTTCTTAATAGCCAGTGATAATTGATTAGAATTCATATTATTTATTATTCTTAATAACATTCCTTTGGCTTAATAAATCATCCAAATGTAAGGTAAATCAGGTAGGCTTTACCTGTCCTGATTTCTCAATGTGAATATATATACAGTTCTGTTAATCTAGTTTTATGCATGTGTTTTAACTTGTAGCACGAACAATATGTAAATTTGTGTTTCAGAATTTTACATTAGAAAGAGATAGTCATACTTTAACTCTTTAATTATCCCTTGATTTTACAATCCACATATCCAAAAGTCAAAGATATTCACTGTATCATTATGTCTTCTATCACAGGTGAAATGGAAACTGATGAACAAGATGATGAATCTAGCCAGGATCAAGAACTACCATCTGAAAATGAAAACAGTCAGTCTGAAGATTCTGTGGGAGGTGATAATGATTCTGAAAATGGATTATGTACAGAGGATTCCTGTAAGGATCAAGTTATAGGGCACAAAAAACGATTGTTCACATTCCAATTCAACAGCTTAGGCAATACAGACATCAATTATGTCAAAGATGATACCAGGCATATACGATTTGATGACAGACAACTTCGACTAGATGGTAAGTTTTATACTGGAATAAAATGTATTTTTGTAAATGTGACGATTATTATTTGGTCAATGAATAAATAATATTTGTCATCTTTTAGGGCAAATCCTCACAAAAACATATACAATGAAAATGATAAATAGAATATATATTTTTAAAAAGCATTAAATATATTGCTGGAATATAAAATCTTAACTTTCACACTACTGTATATCCCCTACCAAAAAACCATAATACACTTCCCAAGGTTTGCTTGTTGTTGGCTTTTTTACTTTTTCAATCAGAATTTCCCAATACACCTTTCCAGACACATTTACCAAACAAATCCCTTTAATTTTTGTATTTATTCTTACCATTTTCCACTTTTATAGAACAATAATTACATTCTTCCAAATGACAGATTGTTCAGATTCCCATTTAACAAGTTGAAAGTGACTCCGTAAACAAACCATATCCATGTTTTAATATTTTTTCACATAGAACATATATATCTGTAGATTATTTTTCAATGTTTTCTCCCAGTTTTATAAATTCCTTCTTACCGATATTTTCTTGGACTCCAACATTTGTAGATTAGTTGTAATTCCATATGTATCACTATCATTCCCATTCAGATCTCTAAACTCCTCCTCCTAGCCTGTTTTCACTTCAGATTCATCCCAATCATTTAATATTTTTAAAATGTCTTTATTCTGCTGTTATTTAAATATTTTTAACTATATCCCAAATAATTTCAACTGGCAGGGTCCAGATAGAGAACTTTCTTTTCGATTACCCCCACTCTATGGAGCACTCTCTCCCCAGAGGTGAGATGGGCCCCCACTCTCCTGACCTTCCAGAAAGGCGTGAAAACATGGCTCTGCTGCCTGCTTAAGACCCACAGAGAAGCATGCAGCCATGGAGCTGGTTAGTGCTTGAAATCCTAACCCTGCCTTTTAATTAATTTTTTAACATTCCTTGCCTCTTTTAAATTTTGTATACTGTTTTTGTGCTTTTAATATTTTATTTGTATGCTGCTCAGAATCCCTCTGTGAGGAAAATGGGCAATTACTAAATATGAAAAATAAATATATATTTTTTATTTTCATCATTTTTTCTGCATTTTCTGCCCCTTTAAACTTTAAATCTTCCTTATTTTAATTTAGTGATGGCTAACTTTTTCGTCGCTGCATGCTGAAAGTGCATGCACGCGCACCCATAATGCAATGCATGCGCGATGCATCCTCCCGCGCATGCATGCTACTCCCCCTGTGCATGGGCGTGCATCTCCCACATGCCCCATGCCCCCCACGCATGCATGGCAGACACCCGAAAACCAACTGGCCAGCAGGAGGCACGCACACATGCATGGTAGCTGGGGCGATGGCTCACATGCCCGCAGAGAGGGCTCTGTGTGCCACCTGTGATTCACGTGCCATAGGTTCGCTATCATGGCTCTATTTGATGTCTTTTCTTCACCTCCATTTTTTTTCTATATACACATTGTAAAATGTCTTTCATACTTTTTTGCAGTAATTGTTATGTTCTATGCATCTTTCCCTCCCCTACAGATATATATCCATTGCTTTTCCAGTAGGTATGAAATAGACTGCTGCTTAAACCATGTAATCAAAACAAATCACTCTTTATTCACTAATTGCCATTATTAGTCATTTGTCTATATCTGAATAGCTGTCATGTTTTGTTTCTCTCTCATTTTTTTTATTTTACTCAAATTTATACTAAAATGGTCCTGAAAAACCTCAAGCAGTGTACAAAAACAAGTAGCAACAAAGATACCACAAAACAAAACTTACAAATTATAGTAAAACCTATATTATTAATAGGTTAAAAATTATATATTAATAAAAGGTTCATCTCCTAAAGTTAGCAAACTTTCACAATCCTATCCAAAAGGCCTTCCAGAATAGCCAAGTTTTTATAAAAAGTTCTAGAAAGCGCTAAGAGAGACATTTCCTTCAAGGACTTTTTGTGAAAATGGGAGTCCCCACAGAAAAAGTTTCCGCTCAGATTCTTTCCTTTTGAAATTCTTAGTTGGTGGGGCCGTCAGGACATCTTTTCTGTTCATTCCTATAGAGAACGAATTGAACTCAGTAGACTTTTCATCTACAACAGGTGATTATTATAGTGATAGTAAAGTAATTTAAAAAGAGAGAGCCATTTGTGCTACCTGATGTTTCTGAGTGGTGTTCAAGTTGAGCTCCCTGCAAAACTCACAGTGTCCCAGTCGAAGATGACACAGGCATGAATGACTATTTAAAGTATACAATCCACACCCCCGTATGTAATGGCTCCTCTCCTAACTTGAGAAAGTAAAGACTCTTGAAATGGATTGTTTCAAAAGGAACCTTTAAT